GAGAGAGAAAAAAGTGTGAGAACTGATGAAGTGAAGCTACTTTCGGCCCTCTGTTGTGCTGTGGGTGATTGAGCTGCTGAACTAAATCATATCTGTGCACAACAGTGCTGCTCTCAGAGCCCCATTTCAAACGCTCTGAGTTAGGACCCTCAAGACCCTCTACACAAACATCCCTCCTTCTCCAAACACTATTTCAATAAAAGCAGCTAAATCGCTTGCTGTTGTATTACATAACGCTTGCAAAAGAGAATGAAAAAACACAGAGATGTCCAACATTCTGTTAGCCAAAAACATCCATAAAACACTGTGTGCACACTATTAGCTTCTCCCCGTTGCATTACTGTGTGAGAGTTTTGATTAAGTATCAGTTCCCTGAGGTGCCATTCAGAAAAATGAATCAGAGGCTGCGAGACTCCAGAGGAAGGATTTATGGCAGCGCAACACTCATCAACTCCCCAAAAGAGGAGAAGCGCGAGAGGGGGAGCGGCACAGGAACTGGCTGCCCTCCACTCAGGCGCCCAGCCAAACGGAGGAGAGAGAGAGAGAGGGGGAGAGAGAGAGAAAGAGAGAGAGAGAGAGAGAGAGAGAGAGAGAGAGAGAGAGAGAGAGAGAGAGAGAGAGAGCGAAATGTTCTAAAGACGTTGAGAATGTTGATATCTGTATAGTTGTTGTCTCAGTTAACTGATGCTAAATGAATTTGCTCAAAACTTACATCAAACTGCACCAAAATAGAACCTAACAGAACAAGCAGAATAAAACGTTCTAAAGAACAGGGGAACGTTCATATGTATATAGTAAGCTGGGTGAGCTAACTGATGCTAACAGAATTTGTTCATGATTGCAAAATATTGAAGCCAGACAAATATAACAATTTAGACAGTACACAAAATGGATGATAACGGAATAAAGAGAAAATTGGTTCTAAACAACAGTAATATCTTTGTAGTTCGTTGTGTCGACTAATTGATGATACTTCAATAAGTACAAAATTGCAAAGTACTCCCAGACAGCACACATATAGCAGTCCACTGGCATAGTTGGCACCCTTTTGACTGTTTGCCACTGCTGGTCCATCCTCAGACCACCCAGATTACTGTCCTGCATACAAGCTCTAACTAGGTTTTAATCTCCTCAAACAGATTTTAAATGGACAGAGACTTTTATTTTGGAAAATGAACTAAGACAAATATTACAAACAGCTGAGAGAAAAAAAAGACTAGGCCTAATATAAAATGATTTTGTTGAAAATGTTGTTGCTGACGCTGTGCTAGATTAACATTATTTACTAAACTAATTTACAAGGTATAGCTAAAGAAAGGAAGGAAGGAAAAATCAGTAAATTGGACTGAGTGGACAAGGAGTGATAATAACTGCTTAAACACCAGTGGGCCACCCAGAAAACACTGAGCAAAACACCGGTGGACAGCCAGCTTTGCCATCAGCAGGTCAACAGAGGACCACTGTCCTTTTACTATCAGGGCTGAAGCTCCAAAATAGAATACAAAATAATATAACTATTCTTTTATAATAGAGATATAACGGGAAGTAGAAAACATGTCTCTAAAGAACACGAGAATGTAATATCTATGTAGTTTGCTATGTGAGCTAATTTACACTAACTAAATTTGTTCAGACTTGCAAATTTTTAAAGCCAGAGGATTGGAAGTAAACAGAATTTAACAATAGTCTAAAAAAAATATAACAGAACAAACAGAATAAAACATTCTCTGAAAAACAACGAGAATGCTGATATAGCATTAGCTGCTGTGTCAACTAAAAATTCTGTTAATGGTAACTCAATTTGTCTAGAATTGCAAATTTCTTAAGTAGATTTTCAAATTCACAAAAAGCAATGGTTCCACGCTGGGGGAGGTGAAAAACCAAAAAAGTATCCACCCGCATCCACAAGACAAGTGTAAAATAAATCCCAAAGCAAAGAAATCCCGGGCACACCGTCCTTAGAAAAAGTATAAAAAGCCTTTATTGAAACATGGCAATAAGTATAAAAATGCGCCGTCGCGTTGCAGCCTACTCAGGCCTTCATCGGGACACAGAACAATGGCATGTCAGTGGCTTTTTATGAGTTTTCTGCACCCATGCCCCAGGAGCACCTGTCTTTTTGTTTCATTTTTGTGACCTCTGTAGCGCTTCTTCATTCCTGGTGTTTTAGATTTTCAAATTTTCACAGTAGAATGAAACAGAATTCAGCAATATTCTAGAATAAAATACTCATAACCAAAGACCAGAAAACACATCTATACAGAACAAATGAATGTTGATATCTATGTAGTTAGCTTTGTCAGCTAAGTGGTGCTAGCTAAATGTATTCAAATTTGCCAGAGGAATTGAATTAAACAGAATATGACAATATTGTAAAATGAAAAAGAATATAACAGAACAAGGTGAATAAAACATGCTCTAAAGAATGGTGGGAGTGCTGATATCTGCATTGTTGTGTCAGCTAATTAATGCTAACTGAGTTTGTTTAAAATTGCAAATTACTGAAGCTACACAATAAAATAACAATATAACAGTGTTCTAGAATAAAACATTAAAAAAAAGAAAACTGTCTACAAGGCAAGTGTTGATATCTGAATAGCTAGCTGTGTCAGCTGACTAATGCTAGCTGAATTTGTTCAAAATGACAAATTATTGAGGCCAGAGTAATAAAATGAATAGAATGTAGCAATTATCTAAAATAAAATGGAATAAAACAGGACAAAGACTAGAAAACATGTATCTGAAGAACATGGTAATGTTGATATCTATGTAGTTAGCTGAAGCTACAGAGTAGTAATGAAACAGAATTCAACATAATTCTGAAATAAAATACTCATAACCAAACAATGACTAGAAAACATGTCTATAAAAAATATGAGAATGTTGACATCTATGTAGTCAGCTTTGTCAGCTAAGTGGTGCTAGCTAAATGTGCTCAAATTTGCCAGAGGAATGGAATTAAACAGAATATGACAATATTGTAAAGTGAAAAAACTATAACTAGATCAAGGTGAATAAAACATGCCTTTAAAGAATGTTGGGAGTGCTGATATCTACATAGTTAATGTGTCAGCTAAGTAATACTAACTGAGTTTGTCTAAAATTGCAAATTACTGAAGCTACACAATAAAATAACAATATAACAGTGTTCTAGAATAAAACTTAGGCAAGTTTTCATATCTGAATAACTAGCTGTGTCAGTTAACTGATGCTAGCTGAATTTGTGCAAAATGACAATTATTGAGGCTAGAGGTATAAAATAAACAGAATGTAGCAATTATTAAAATAAACTAGTACATAAAACAGACAAAGATTAGAAAACATGTACCTGAAGAACATGGTAATGTTGACATCTTTGTAGTTAGCTGTGTCAGCTAATTTATGCTAACTTTTATCCAAAACTGCAAATTATTGAAGCCAAAAGAAATGGAATAAAATAGACTTTAGCAGTATTCCTTTATAAAATATGAATATGTTGCATAGTTGTTGTGTCAGCTAATTGGTGCTAACAGAATTTGTTTAAAATTGTTGAAGCCTCAGAACAGAATAAAACAGATTATAACAATTTTCTAAAAATAAGACAAACAAGACAAAGACTAGAAAACTTCTCTAAAGAACATGGGAACGTTGATATCTACATAGTTAGCTGTGTCAGCTAATTTATGCAAATGTTCAAAAATGCAAAATAGCCAGAAGAAAAAGAAATAAAACAGACTTTAAGAGGATTCTAGCATAAAATAGACTATAATAGGACAAAGACAGGATATAATGGGAATATTGATATCTGTGTAGTTAGCTGTGCCAGCTAATTGATGCTAGCTGAATTATAATTAAGTTATTGAAGCAAGAGAAACAGAGCAGAATTTTGCAGTATTCTAAAATAAAATAGCATAAAACAGAACAAGGAGAATGGGGATGTGTTCTAAAGAACAGGCAAATGTAGATATGCCCATAGTTGATGTTTCATAAATATAAGCCAGAGAAATAGAATACTGTTTATAAACTGTATTTCAGCTCCTTCAAGCATCTTTTCTGCCTTTTCTTTGTTGTGGCTCATACACATTTGGCTTTAAGCCAGATAATCAAGGATAGGGGTCAGCCGGAGCTCAGCTAACATGTCACTCATTTAAATTGAGCAGGCATACAAGCGTGTTATCTCGGTATTAGAAACACAGGCGCTTCTGCTCTTGACGGCTCAGAATGTCACAACTCAGGTCAAGACCCTATTTCAATTACCTTTAGAGGCCGCTCTGTGAGATGACGTTACAAATCACTTGCCTTTTGACATTTCTCGGACCTTCCCAAGGACATGATAGTAATTACACTCCTTCTCCACACTTGCTAAAGTGGAGAAAAGCAAGCATGGAGTCAGGAACGTGGATGTCCTCCACAATCTTTATCAGTTCATTTGCATTCAGGATTTGCGATGCTCCACTGCCCTCTGTTTAAGCTGATGAATGTGTTAACTCTGGAGGTGGTAAAAGCTCCACAGTGACGAATTCTCCTAAAGCCTTATGCCACCATCGTGCCCAATTTGACTGCATTTATCTTTCAGCTCATTGTGGCCTTACAAAGGCAAATCCAGTTCTCTCTGAGCTCATAAAATGAGTAAGGAATTGTTGGTATGCTGTGATAATTGCACCACAGGACCACAGAAACTGCTCACCATTGCAAAAGGGATGTGCTGTCAACTAGCATTTTTACAGAATGAGGCAGTGGAATGTAGATAGGGGAATTTAAGAAGCTAAGCAGAACTCAATCAAAACACATACCCATGTAGAAGAACAATGCTGGGCTAAGGTCCCCAGTGTAGGTTAGCTTCAGAAGAGAATAATATGCTTAGCTCTGTAGCTCTGCATCTTATGTAACGTGCTATAAATCTGTGGTGTATTGACTTTCCTGGTTCTCTTGGAAATTGCAATTCGTCAGTTAGCGAAAAGAGTGCACCAAACAAATCACCACAGCAGGATGAAAAACAAGCACAGCTTTGTATTTATTACCTCTTTGGCTTTCCTGTGTCTTTCCTTGCCATCTCCATGCCTCTCCTTCTCCTTAACCTCCTCCACTGGATGGCTAGAGTAGGAGACAGTCCTCCAGTCTCTAGGTGAGTTGGTGATGCTGGCCACTTTGGATTCTGTGGCACTGTTCTCCTCTGTCAGAGACCTGGACGACCTGCGGGTGAACATGCTCTTTTTCAGTGCTTTCACCCTCAGGCTTTCGCTGCCACTAGCGTCTGAGCAGCACCACTCTGCATTTGAGTCCACTTTTACGTTGTGCCCTGTTGTGTGGCACTGAAACACATGAGGTGACAGATTCACATCGGTCTGGATCTGTGATGCCATGCCACTATCACCGGATTTCCTGTTTGCTTCAGGTTCTTGAATCTTTTCGTCCAGCCTGGTGAGCTTGGAGAGGACCTGGGAAATCTCCCCACGCACTCCTGAGAGAGATTCAAGCTTCTTCTCAATCTCGCCAATCCTGAGGACCAGTTTGCAGACACTTGCTTTGAGTTCATCATCTGAGTTCTCCAGAGAGTGGAAGAGACGGTCGAGCTTGATGGTAGACTTGCCCAGTTTGATCGTGTTGCGTTCGGGTGAGCTATCGCCATCAGACTTGGTCACCTGAGAGAGTGAGCCATTACTGTTGTAGCAGGATGACTGGGTGATTCCGATGGAACCACACACGCTCATATCATCCAGGAAGCGAAAGATGTCACTAATGTCATCGCTTACAATCTCGCAGTCCTCCTCTGGGTGTTTGAAAGAAGGCCTCTCCCCATTCTTGTTGTGGATGCTATAGTCTTTCAGCTTCCTTTGTTCAGACTGCTCTGTTTGTGTCCCAACACTAAGGCCATTGTCTATGGTAGCAGCCTGGATCGATGGACAATTGATACTCTTGTCCTTGAACCTCTTCCCACCTTCTCTCTTTTCAACACTTGGACCGCAAGCAACAGAGGTCATCTCCTTCATCTTCAGTCCATTAGACTTCTTGGAGAAGCCTGCAGGAGAGGCTGTGGACTTCTCTTTGGCACACTGAAAGTGTTGGTCGTTTTCCATGGTGCTGATGTTATGGCGGTGATTGTCTTTTGGCACCTTGTTGTTCAAAAAGGACCTCTCAAAGTCAGGGCCCTCCTCAGTGTTCAGGCTTAAACTCTTCACGGGCCAAGCTGGCTGCCTGCCCTGTCTCCCAGAAGTCCTCCTGGTGTTCACGCACTCTGTGACTGTTGTTGGTCCAAAATACGTGGATGCCTGCAAGTCATCAAGGCTCTCGTGCTTCACCTTCGTTTTATTCTGAATGGGCGAGCTGACCGGTTCAAAGTAAGGGTTGCTGTATGGCAGCTCAAAGCTGTGATTAAAGAAGGTGGGCGGCTTGTGCAGCTCCCTCCTGTGGTAATCTCCACTGCCTCTGGTGTTGGCTTTGGACTCCGTGGAGATCACATGGGGAGAAAAGGCAACAAGGTTGTGAAAGTCTTCCTTAAAGATATTCCGCTTTTGCACGCATGAGTGCACAGTGAAAGGCTCCGAGTTAGGCAGGAAAACATCCTTGCCACTTGGGTTGATGTGTAGAGATTCCTGGTCGGTGGTGGACTCACTGTCAATGTCCATGGGGAAGTAGGTGCTCTGCATCTCACATGGAGGTGGACTGGCACTGGCATACTGAGGCAGATGCTGCAGCTTATCCAGCGATGCTGCTCTACATTTCAGATCCTTGGAGACTCCCAGGAGGAAATTGGGGTCTGAGGTTGGCATAAATGTCTGACAGTTGTTGCACTCCGATTTGGGGCAGGGTGACGTCCGTGAAACATGATGACCCCTTCTGTCGGGGAAGTCATACGCTCTCTCACAATCATTGTACTTATAGACGTCCGTATCAGACCTGCAGGACTCAAAAGATTGGTTCTTATGAAACTTGGGTCTATGACTCATCGGCAACTTGTCTTTGGCCATTCCTCCATTCATCTGGATGAGGTTGAACATGGTGACAATGTCCGCTGCCACCATAAGCTTCTTAGACTGCTGATCTTCCACCGAGCACCTCATCTTGTCTTTAAATAGGGTAGCGGGGAAACTTGGGTCCAAACATGCTGTGTAGAACAGCAGGCTCCTCAGCTTTGCCAGGTGGACCAGGTCAAAGCGGGCACACAGGGATTTGCACAGATCCTGATATGACACAGTGCTGTACTTGGTGTCTAGTTCCTCCAAAATCCGGACGAGAAAAAGGGAATACTCTGGCACTGCATCCATTACTGTGGGTGCTCTGATTTTTATCTTAGAGAAGAGATGATAACCTGCGTGGGGAGAGATTGAGGATTAGTGACTGGAGATACAGTATGGCTTCCTGCCGATAAATGTAATCTATGAACCTTATTCCTGCATAAAGAACCTCTACAATATGTATTGAGATGTTTTAGACACTTTTGAATTCAACCACATACATTACAAGGACATTGACAAAACCAGAATCACAGCAAAGAGGAAAAAATGCATGCATGCAATACAACAAGGTTCAAATGATGGATAAATGAAGGAAGAAACTGAGTTAGAGTTCTTGGCTCGCAGACCGGAGGGGTAAATACAGTAACAGTATCTCGAGAGGGAATGAAAGGCAACTCAGCAGCATTTCACCATTCAAAAGACACGGTTCAAGATCCAAAGTCAACTATGAGAAAAAAACACATGAACACACCTATCTGACGATCCCATCTGGTGTCCTCCGGATCAGAAAAACTGAGCTACACTCTGTCAAGCACACGCTCGTGTGTGGCTTGTCGTTCCAGCGTGCATTTCATCCGTCGACATTCCTGCAGTGCAATGGCAATAAATAAAGGAGGACAACTCCAGCCCAGCCGTTCACATCCTTCAGCTTCAGCTCGTCGTTCCAAAGCTGCTCGTTTGCTTTAGCTCTCTAGAGTACCGCTCACTCTGCGCACGGGAGGAGGAGGGGGATGTTGGCGGGTGGGGGGTTGTTGGGGTGAAAGGGAGGGGGGCGTTGTTTCCACCTCGAATGACGTAATCACACCTAAACATACCGAGATGTGTGCGCGTGCAAGGGCAGAAACTGATCTGGATGTACCGCACCCCTCCTATAGCGCGCCTCTCATAGCGCAATCCATTCAGTTCAGTTCAGTGCCATGTGTATGCTGCTTTTCCCAGCAGCTATTGTCCCAAAGTAGTTTGTACAGAAATAAAGAGTTCAGCCCCCAAATGAGCATCACCGGGGGAGACAGCATCAGGAAAAACTCCTATAAAGAGTACAAGGAAGAATCAATTAGTCAAACCAAGACTCAGGACTGATAATCTGATATTGCTTAAGTGAACCCAATGCATTAAATATTAATGCTTCACATTTACTTGAATTATTAGACTGCATGCATATCATCTCCAAATGAATACATCAGCAAAATAATATCTTTGAGTTGACTCATTTTTGGCAATAATTGTGTTGATTTAAAATTTTATTCAGATTTCACAATATTTCATACTGAATTTTTACAGTAAAAAAAAACATGCATCATTTTATTGTGAAATCAGTTCACTTAAAGATATTTTCTATAACAACACAACAAATTGCATTGAAAAATATGTCAAATATTCTGTGTATAGAGTCATATGCAAAAGTTTGAACACCCCTGATCAAATTACGTTATGTTTTTTTTTTTTCAAAGTGAAAATAAGTTAACACATCCTCTACAGGCAGCAAACCTAATGACATTAAAAAGGCATTTTTCTTTTAATTTTAGTGCAAATGTCTGTTTTTATGCAGAGTTTAACATGTTGAAATAAATATATAAAATATAAAAATGTCCCATTACTTTTGCACATTTTATTTTTTCCCCTACTTTGTTAAATTCAGCAAATAAAACAAAAAGTATGCATCAAAACTAGCAAAATATGTAATTTGTTCATTAAGGTAATTTGCACTGGACTAAAAAAAAGTAATTTTTAAATGTAAATAGACAAATAATTACAAGCTTCTGAGTTGCATTACATTTATTTCTTATGTAGCAGCAAATTACAGCTACATCACAGTGTGCTCCAGGAGACTGCAGAGTCACAATATACAGTGAATTTTATCCTATTACAAAGATTTTTTGTACACATTTGAATCAAGTAAATTCAGTGTATTACCTTCATTGTAGAAAGTGTTATTGAACCAGTTGGCATATAATGGGTTAGCAGTGTTAAATATTTAACATTTTCTCATCATAGCTTTTGCTCTGTTGTGAAGTCAGTTTAGATTCTACAACCTAGATCCACCATCATAATCTCACAACAGTTGATGATGGTGTCAGTTATGATTGGAGTTTTAATTAATGGACTCATAATGGATGTTTATGACTTATTCAAATTACATATTTTGTCGATTTTCTGTATATTTGAATGCACAACAACTGTTTATTTGCTTAAATTAACATTACATACATAAGTTATGGCACATTTAATATGCTACTTTTTGTGTGTTTTACAATAAGTTTATCTAAAATAAATAGACATTGAGAAATATCTGCACTATAATGTCTTATTTAAGTTTAATATATATTGTATGTTAGTATGTTAGTTATGATATATATATATATATATATATATATATATATATATATATATACCCAAAATTTATATAATTTGTTTTTGTGATGTCACAAAAAATGGGCTGTATTGCAGCTTATTTTCCAGGAATGAATGATATTTATAAATGTATCACTTAAAGAAAAAAATAAGGAAAATTCATTTTTCCATGACATAACTACAGATATTATCCAGTTACATTTCAAATGACAAGCATCTAGTAACAATGCATTTGATTTTATTTTGGAAATATTTCTCAGCAGACACCCGAATCCTCCAACATAACTTGCTTAGCTTTGATAACTATCATCCATTACCTCTTGGCATCTGTTGCTTGTAGTTTTATGGGTACTGAAGTGTTCTGCCCATTCGTTTATATTTGTCCCATCAACTTCAATAGCGGTTCCAGATTCACTACCCGCAAGCTATCATTTTTTGGAAGATGTTGCAGCCCACAGATCAATATCATATCTGGGCCTGCTCGGCACTTTGGATTTGGTTGGTGGCACACGGAGATGGATTTGGGGATTAGAGGGTTAAACCGAGCACAAGATGAACGTGGACTGCTCAATGTAAAGTTTCAGACACCTACTGTACTGAACTCCGCCTGGTAATGCCACCAATTAGGACACGTTTATGAGAAATTTAAAACCGCAGGGATTTTTCCCCCCTTTTGGGCCAAATAATGACACATGAATCAGCTGGTCTGACATTTAGCTTCTGCACTGCACAGTCAGCAAGCAACATTGATTAGGACATCGGGTCGCCCTCCTCATCAAGATCCTCCAAAATGAATGTCTTACTGAACTCAAACCTCCCACACAGGACACATGATGATGTAGCATCACATTTACTGAGAAATTTACCATCTTAAAGACAATGATTGGAAGGTTTTCACCATTTCTCTGTACATGTGTATATTTTCAAAGTGTTAATGTATACATGCATAAATGTCAATATTTGTATATTGCTGTTGTTGGAAGAAAACCTTGTATCTCCATTTTTGTCATTTTTCAGTTTTTGACATAATTTGAAAATACTATTGCCCTTTACATTGTGTGTAAATTTCATGATGAATGGACCAAAAGAAATGATCCAAAATTACAATATATATATATTGATCAGGCCTAACATTATGACCACCTCCTTGTTTCTACACTCATTGTCCATTTTATCAGCTCGACTTACTAAAAAAGGTGCACTTTGTAGTCCTACAGTTACAGACTGTAGTCCATCTGTTTCTCTGCATACTTTGTTAGCCCCCTTTTACCCTGTTCTTCAGTGGTCAGGACCCCCATGGACCCTCACAGAGCGGGTATTATTTGGGTGGTGGATCATTCTCAGCACTGCAGTAACACTGATGTGGTGATGGCATGTTAGCGTGTGTTGAGCTGGTCTGAGTGGATCAGACACAGCAGTGCTGCTGGAGTTTTTAAACACCTCAGTGTCGCTGCTGGACTGAGAATAGTCCACCAACCAAAAATATCCAGCCAACAGCATATTGTGGGCACTGTCCTGTGACCACTGATGAGGCACTAGAGGATGACCAACACAAACTATGCAGCAGCAGATGAGTTATCGTCTCTGACTTTACATCTACAAGGTGGAGTGACAAGGTAGGAGTGTCTAATAGAGTGGACAGTGAGTGGACACAGTGTTTAAAAACTCCAGCAGCACTGCTGTGTCTGATCCACTCGTACCAGAACAACACACACTAACACACCACCACCATGTCAGTGTTACTGCAGTGCTGAGAATGATCCACCACCCAAATAATACCTGCTCTGTGAGGGTCCATGGGGGTCCTGACCACTGAAGAACAGGGTAAAAGGGGGCTAACAAAGTATGCAGAGAAACAGATGGACTACCGTCTGTAACTGTAGAACTACAAAGTGCACCTTTTTTAGTAAGTCGAGCTGATAAAATGGACAATGAGTGTAGAAACAAGGAGGTGGTCATAATGTTATGCCTGATCGGTGTATAGTTCAGTTTGGCTTAAAATGTACTTTTAATTAGCCCATTACATTTTTCATATTTTCCACATTTTATGACAATCAATATTACTCGCATGTAGGTTTACTGATGGTTTTGGTTGGTAAATGAAATATATATTATAGCTATATTTGTGTTGTAGACATGGTGACCCCTGGTTCCTATCACCACCACTGTAAAGAATCAGAGGCTCTACAATCAACCATTTCACACCAAACCACTCTGAATGACTGAAAAGTCATTTTGTACCCAACTGAGCCCCTGGCCCACTGAACAAATTGTACTTTGGCCCACAAGACAAGATGTTTGGGGACCACTGTTTTTAAACGCAGAATCCACTTGTGGCTTAGATGAATCGGCTTTTCTTGGCAAGCCTAAAACTTTTGCACAATATATTACTCCAAGTAAAATATTTGTATAAAACATATAACTCATCGACTTTATTTACATGGCAAAAGATCAACAAAATGCAGCCCGTGCCTTTGGAGAAACCTCACTACTGAGATGTCAAAGCCTTAGCTAGAGCGTTTCATTTTCCAGGTGAATAAACAAACGTTAATTGAGGATGAACTGTGAGGAAATTACCTCATTCCGAGGGGAAGAGTCAATCAAAGTGCCAAAAATGCCTGCCAGTGAAGATGTGCACTCTGGAGGACTTGCCTGGTAATTATGGAGGTGTGAAGAGTACAGGGGATAGTGAGTGGTCATCGTGTTCTTCTGCAGACTAAAAAATGTTTTAACTCACTTGGTTCCGTGTCATCGCAGGTGATAACATAAGCGTGAAGTCGTTTATTATTTATTATTTCTTGCTAGGAAAGGAAATCAAAGAAGTTATTGTGTGTGGCGTCTTTTTTAGCAGAATAAAACTTTACATTTTTGTCATTTTTTTCAACCTTGAAACAAGCAGAAAAAAAGTCAGAAGTGCGAAATATAATTAATTACATAACTAGATGATTACATTTGAATAGATAGCATTACATATTGCATTTGAACTTACTTGGTCAGTGGTGGTGATAGGAACCAGACGTCTGGAAAGTTTAATGTCTCTAAAAGCTCCCTTACAGAAAAATATAATAAGAAGTGGTTATGAATACGCTGCCTGATGCCTGAGACATCGTTTTTTATGATATTTTCAGGTTATTTTCAGGGAAGGTTTTTGGCCTAAACTGCATTTTAAAATGCATTTTTTTCAGATTTGTAAATATTTTGCCATTGTCAATATTCCATATAAAACTCAGAAGAGATGTGTAGGTTCCCTGGTGGTTTTGGTTAATAAATAAAATGGCCATATTTGTGTTGTAGTCATTGTGACCCCT